GCCCCCCCCCAGCTCCAACCCCCTACCCACTATTCCATGAATACTGTTGGCCTCAGGGCCTTTGCACTTGCTGTTTCCTCTGCCCAAAACTATCTTCTCTCACTCAGTCCTCACATCTCCCAGCCTTCACCTCAGCCAAGCTCAGATGTCACCTACTGGGAGCTGGAGGGGCCTGGGGCTCAGCTTCGCTTACTCCTAACACATCCCTTGGCTCACTTTTCAGGTTTAGTTGCAGAGGCAGGCCTGCTGGTTGGGTCTCTGGTGCCCAGAGCAGTGTCTGGCACGCTGGAGGCAGCTGAGTATTTGCCAAGCTCGTCTCCTGCTTGACTGGCCACAGGATCCCCTCTCTGGTCCCCATTTCCCTGACACCCAGCAGCCTCAGGGTGCTTTCTAAGTTGCCTCAGCTCTGTCTCTCCTGCCTCAGTGCCCCCAGGGCTCCCCACTGCCTGCAGATAAGATCCTACTTTTGACCCCAGCCCATCAGACCCACAAAGGAGATCAGTGGGAGAGGATGGGGCGGGGAGGCCTGAAAGGTGCACCCCAAAAGGCATTGGTTTATCAAATAATGTTTAAACTGTGTGCAGGCCCCACCCCCGCCCCTAGGTCAGGCCAGATGGGTGCCCAGAGGACCTGGCCCCTGGGGAGATGCCTGGAGCAACCTTCAGCCCCTCCCCTGCCTCATGGTGGTCGGTCTCTGGTCCTTACCCTGCCTCCCCCCATGGCGTCTGCCCTCCCCCAGGCCCCTTCCCACCTTCTCAGGGGCCGTCTTCTCACCTGTGGCTGGAGTGCCCCGCCCATGGCTGCCTGGCAGCCCCTGCTCAGCCTCTGCCTGGCTGGCACCGCTCTGTAGGTTTATAGGTCAAAGCCTCAATATTTTGCCTCCCTACCTGGGTCCAAAGGAAGCTGCCGTCTCACTGGAGCCTAGCACCAGGCCGGCACACAGCACATGCTCAGTAAGGAAACACCCCATCCCAGCCCTGACATGCCCTGCACACCAGGCTCGCTGGCCTGAGCTCATGCTCCCTGGGGCCTGGCTCCCCTCCTCAGCCTGTGCCCACCCCGCCCTCCCAGGGACCGGTCAGTGCCATGCTTGGGGCTGCAGAGCCCAGCGGCCCAGGGCCAAAGTCCCTCCATGCTGCCAAGGTTGGTGGCTCCTCCTTGGGTGGGTAACTCCCTGCCTCAGTTTCCTCCTTAGACAAACGAGGAACACATTGGGGTCTCGGTAGGATCTCACTGAAGATGAATTGTGCTCAGCAAGCCTGGCACAGAGCAAGGACCTTGTCATGGTGGTCACTGTCACTGTCACTGTCATTATTATCACGGGCCCCAGTGGGCTGGGTCACGTTGTGGCCAAGGCAGACCCACACCTGTGTGTGCCCGCTGCCCGATGCTCTGGGCTTGGGCCCGCCTGAGGACCGAGAGGAAGGGCCACCTGACAGCCAGGCGCTGTCGGGCCAGCACAGAGCTTTGCGAACGGCGCCTGCAGACTACCCTCACCCAGAGGGGGAAACTGAGGCCCATGGAGGGGAAGGAGGGCTCGCCCAGGGCCACATGTGCTCTTTCCCTGTGGAGAGCCAGCTCCTGGTAACCCTGGCCAGCCCCAGCCCCAAGGAGATACCTGCCCAGCCTGAGAAAGAACAGGGGCCTCACGCTGCCTGGGAGAAGGCCACCCTCGGACACACCTGAAGCCGGGGGGCAGGCGGGCTGTGAGCAGCAGAGCAGGTGGGATCCGGTGCCCACCCGCAGGAGGAGGCCCCTGCAGCCAAGGTGTCTGGGGATCGCAAGGGTCCCACCCCTCCAGGTTCTGTCTTCAGTAACACTGTTTAGTTCAGGTGATGTGCCTGCAGACGCCCCCCTCCTCAGCCACGCTGTGCTCGGGCCTGGTCACACAGGGTGTGGGCAGGTCCCCTCCCCCAGGAGAGGCCTGAGGCCTGAGGTCAGGTAGATGTAGGCCTGGCTCCCCCGTTATGACCAGGCTGATGCAGAGCCGAAGGGGGCAGGGGCTCCACTCTCATGGGGTGGGGGGGACACGTTGCTGCTGAAAGAAGCAGGGGCTCCACTCTCATGGGGTGGGGGGGACACGTTGCTGCTGAAAGAGGCAGGGGCTCCACTCTCATGGGGTGGGGGGGACACGTTGCTGCTGAAAGAAGCAGGGGCTCCACTCTCATGGGGTGGGGGGGACACGTTGCAACTGAAAGAGGCAGGGGCTCCACTCTCATGGAGTGGGGGGCACATCTCAGCTGAAGGGGGCAGGGGCTCACTCTCATAGGGTGGGGGTGCACATCTCTGCTGAAGGGGGCAGGGGCTCACTCTCATAGGGTGGGGGTGCACGTCTCTGCTGAAGGGGGCAGGGGCTCACTCTCATGGGGTGGGGGGGGACACGCTGCAACTGAAAGAGGCAGGGGCTCCACTCTCATGGAGTGGGGGGCACATCTCAGCTGAAGGGGGCAGGGGCTCACTCTCATAGGGTGGGGGTGCACATCTCTGCTGAAGGGGGCAGGGGCTCACTCTCATAGGGTGGGGGTGCACGTCTCTGCTGAAGGGGGCAGGGGCTCACTCTCATGGGGGGACACGTTGTGGCATCTGGCTCCAGCTGGGCCTTGGGGCCAGGCCGGTTTAGGCAGTTGGGGCAGGTTAACTGTAAGTGTACGTGCATCTCCTTTGTCCCTGACCCTGGGGACATCAGCGGCCACACTGGAAACTCAGGAGTTCTCTGCTTCTCCTGGCACCAGCAGAAATGCTGCTGGCCACCCACTTTCTGCTGTTTTGCATCACCCTTTCCATTGCAGGCCGTGATTTTCAGAGGTTTATAGGTCAGCTATTCAGAAAATCTCTTCTTTTTTGAGGGAAAAGGGGCACTTGGAAAACACAAGGCTGGTGGGTGCCGGTGCCGCAGGGTGGACTTGGCTTTGAGGGAGCCCGCTGGCTCCCCTGGTCCCCCCTTCCCCTCCCTGCGGGCCTTTGGGCCGCCCGTCCCCCAGTGCAGGCCAACACTTCGGGGGTCTCAGGGCCCCACCCTGAGGACTCAGCACAGGGCAGCTGGGTGTGGTGGTTCCCCGGGGGGCACAGCCGGGCACACCAGCGAGTGAGCGTGAGTGTGCGTGAGTGTGTAAGAGACAAACGCAGGGCGGGGCTGCCCATCTCTCAGTGAGGAGCCTGTAGCAGGCGGGCTCCAGCCACCCCGTCAGGAAAAAGTCCCCCCTCCCTCCTTTGGGGGCTGCCCCCCGGGGGGGGGCGCGAGTGAACACAAACACACACGGAGCCGGGGCTGCAGCAATTTTTTGGCCTCTTTATTTTGAACCCGGCGGAGGAGGGACCGGGGCAGTGGTGCAGACGGCTCAGGAACCATTTTAACAGAGGTGTCTTCAAGTGTAAAACAATCCTAACAATAAGAGAGACAGCAAGCGAAAGGGCGGAGAGGCGGCAAGCGCGGTGGGCTGGTACGCAGGCAGCTAGGGCTTGGGGGAGGCCCCCCAGAGTCCGCTACGGAGTAAATTTACATTGTGGATAGATAACAGGTGCGGGTGACGTGCCTTTGGCATAACCAATAACCAAGCTACTGCGTGGCAGAGCGGCCCACGCCTGGACATAAATAGAAAATATAAGTTAGTATAACTTTTTTTTTTTTTAAGTTTTTGTACAAATATACATTTTTTTCATTTTTTTTTCTTTTTTTCATTTTTTTTTTTTGCACTGAGTTTCAGCAGAGATTAAACATTTTCTATAAATGACTCTTAAAGCTTTTACACCTTGGGACCAGTGTACTCCTCGGGCAGAATACATTTAGATATAAAGGAGTTATTAATACATTGCACAGTTTTCCAACTTGAAACACAAAACCGAAGGCTGCTTCGCGGCAGCTGCCACCGGTTGCTTGCTACATGGACGGTCCCAGCCGAGGCCCAGCTCCTCCTGTCCGCTGCCCAGCGGCTCCCTCGGGCTCTTTGGGCAAGAGGCTGGGGGGAGAGAGACAGAGACAGAGACAGAGAGACGGGGCGCGGTGAGCGGGGGGGCCGCGGGGGCCCCAGGACCCCGCCCCGCGCCCCGAGCCGCACTCACCTCATCTCAGACGCTTACGGGGGGTTTGCTCCGAGGATCCCGGAGCTCCGCCGCCAGGCGCGGTGCATCCTCCGGGCACCTCGTTGGACGCCTTGGCCTCAGGCGCGGGTCTCTTGCGCTTGGCGAAAAAGTCTGCTGGCGAGAGCCCGGGCAGC